TCTGGCACTATTTGACTAAAGTGCAGCTTTCTCCGACAGCATTTAGATACCTAAGACAATCTCCTTCGACTGGAATGTCTCAGTTGACTTAAGGAACTGACAGTTGCTCATTAAATGCTTTAAAAGAACACAAGGTCATTCACATTGAAGTTCTAACAGGGAAGGAGCCTGCCTCCTAACAACTGCAACCCTTCCAGTTAATCTACCATACATTAACTGAGTCGATACTGAGCATATGTAATTGCATCCCTCTGAGGCTGCTTGTGCGCTTCCAGGACTACAAAGGAGGCGACGTTGATTCATAATTGGAAACCTGGGTTCCGCAGGTTCGAATGTGCCCCTCACAGCCTCCTGCTGACTCAGTACAATGTGAAATGCTCATGACATGACCAATTTGCAAAGCCGGTAGACCGAGGAATTATTTCGGCCTTAATCTTTCAGAAGGCCATGCAAGCTTGTGTGAGAGGAGCAGATGGAAAAACAACACAATAATAAAAGAGAAATGAGAGGGAAGGAGCAGGGTGTTTGACAGGGAGGTAATTATACAGGGCACAAATGACACCAGTAATCAGCTTGTTAAGGCAGGGGGATTTAAAATGCTCCAAGTTTGAATTCGATAACAGCCCTTTGACATTTTAAAACTGTGGTTTGCTGGTGTGACTGAACAAGAAAGGTGGTATCAGCAGTTCTGTGAGCATGCATCCAGAATTAGACCCCTAGCTAGCTAGATATCCCTACAGTAATCTGTTCACTGCCTGTAGAGCGTCTCCATAGGTTGCTGTATTGTATATTTGGTAGATTTATTTTGCAGAAACAACAGCAACAGTGCGGCTACAGCCTTCAAACAACAAATGAATCATTCAGATGCATCAGACAGTCTGTTGCTGTGTGTGTGCACGCTGGATCTCAGAGCTGTAAATAATACAGACTTGGATTTTTCCAAGCTCCGCCTGACCACTGGGCACAGGCCCGGGACTCTGCATCTGCTGTTTATCCAGACGAACAATCAAAGATTAATGGCATCCAGAGCCTTGATGAGAAAGTTAGCAGGTTGTGAACATCTTAATATGAGGACAACTCCCTGCTACAAGCACATGCAAATGGATTGTCAAATCATAATGCCTCAGTGGCACAGAGTCATGCATGAAAATGGAAGGATTGTCCTTGTTTTCTTCTACTTTTGTTCTTTTTCCGCTTCTGTGTAGCGCTATTAAGTTGCTGTCATTGGTGTAAAAGGGTTGACGCACTGCTGCATTTCCTTATAATGTGTTTACAGGCTCCATATGGGTCTTGCTATAATGGCATCAACGACTGTCCTCCCATACTGACTGATCTATTATGCAGGTAATAAATCTGCATCTCAAAAACATGATGACAGGTAACGTATCTAAAGAATGAAGCTTTTCTGTCCCCAGAAAGGGTCTACACATGTAGAAACACATTCATTAAAATGAAATTGTGTTTGTTTTGTGCGTTCCATATCAAAGTCCTTCCATCACACCCCACAGTGAACACATGCTGTTTTTGATTTTAATTGAATAAAGAGAACTTTGAGCTACATGTCTGATTGTGTGCAGAGGTGATGCTTTTCAATAGCTCACTCTACACTACTTGTAAATGTTACTTGTTGAGGCGGTTCCTGTAGGAACGGTCAAATTTAAACAATTAAGATTGAGCTGCTGGCCCGGAATGATGCGACACACAGAAAATGACTGTACATGGATACAATTAAACCACATTCCACCTTCCCATTTGAATCTGCATGTTCAAAAAAGTCCTTTGTCCATTGCTTTTCATAGTGACTTGGATTGCTGTTACAAAAACTATCCATTGCTATGGTTATGGTTATACCCGGTATCACACCTAAACGTGTAATATACACATCGTTCCACCGTGGTAGTGTCACGTTTTGCCTCGCATGGGCGTTGTAGTGTCACGTTTTCAGCGCGTGCTAATTCCACAGTCAACTTAGCAATAATGAATATGCAATGTCGGGTAACACTTTCGAAATAAAGCCTGCTGAGGTTGCAGTTTGGTTTGGTTTAGGAAAAGGTAGCTATTGACAAAATCAACACTGACTTTTGGTTTCACCCTTCTGTGCTACTCTAGAAACATGGTGGTTAATAGGTAATATTATATTTTGTTATAATAAGTGTTAAATAGCTCTACATTCAAACAGCCATCACTGATATAGTGTTTTCAGTCAGTAACATGGTCTCCCGGCCCCTCCTTTCTGCTGTAAACTGAGAATACAGTTTCTTGTATTCTGTTCCCACAGTAATGATGCTGATACTAAATTAATCATGAATGAAATGAATCAACGCACATTACATAGTTTGAGATACTGACAAATATTCTCAACTGTCCAACGTCCATATCAGTACATTATCTTGGTCACAATCCTTTAATAACCAAAATTAAGCATTCTTTACAAAACATTTTTGCTTCTATTATAACAGGGCTATGTAAAAACAATGAATATCATCTTGATGGACTGTTATTCAGTGTGATTGCTCAAAGTAGCAGCTCACTATGTATTATTATCCTATTCAAACCAGAGCTGTCCAACATAAACTTTAGTTAGTGTCAAATTATTCTAATATTGCAAAAACTCACTCTGTTGTCAGGCAAAATTACATATTGAGGATATTCTGCTAGCTTTATACCATACTTTGTTATCACACAATGATGTTACAAACACGACTTTGTTGTAGTTCAGATATTAATTTCAAACATGGCCGTTCACATATTTCTTACACGTTTCGCAGCCACTGTAATCTCTCCCTCGCTAAAGCTAAACCCCAGCTAGGTATAGCTAGGTATTCTGAATGCTAATGCTACTGAACATAAACACAGATCTTTTCAAACAAATGACCAATGTCATTTTTTACTGATCATATTTGATTAATACACAGCCACAAAACTGCGAGAGATGAGTGCTTTCATTTGTCTTTTGTAGGACAGTTGTAATTATGATAAAATCTTTGTGCATGAAGGTATGCTTAAAGCTATGCTAAACGCTAAAGGAAGTTTGGCATGTATGGGGAATATTGTCTTTATTTAAGAGACACTAACAATACTACAGGTGTAACATATAAAGTACCATCTAGTCTCGAGTCTCATTTATTGAGCTCCATTAAAGAATATGACAGTTTTACAGAGAATAATCGTAAGTGGAGATTGGATTTTGCCATCTGGCGCGGTGACACACAGCCCCTGTGAGCAGGTATTTTTAAAACTAGCCAAAGCATGAGCAGGCTGGAATCAATACAATCCCTCCATGGAGAAGCATTAAGATCCGGAGCCCACAGGAGGACACAGAGGTTCTGCTGAGGTCTGAGATATACAGACAGCAGCTGTGGGTTTACCACTTTAATGTTAAACAGTTACAGTATGTCAGAAGTTTTTTGATACTGTTCAAATTTAGCTGATTTTTGTTTTCTCTGCATAGTCTGCTCAGCTTCACCAGCAAGCAGAGAACTTTATAGCTTTTGTTCAGTTGAAAAAAAAACTGTAAAATCTTCTCATGGAGACAAATGGGTCACTTTGATTGAGGTCCAATTCCCCTTTTCTCTGGAAGCCAGCATGCAGTCAACACATTTCCATAACTCTCTTTGTTCCAGATCTGAAGACGACTTCAGCAGCGTGCCAGCTCTCAGCAGCCATCTCTTATGAATGATTTAAAATGATTTCACATGAACAACATGTGGACTGTAGTTAGTTCAAAGATCAGCAGCATGGCAGACATGATGTAAAAGACAGGTTGGATTGACTGATGTTTGACAGCTGTCGTAAAATTGTTGATGATGTTTGGAGTAAAAGCTGCACCTACCAGACAATAGCCAATTGTGGGACTATTATTTATATATTAATATAACATTACATAGTTATTATCAGATTATAATAGTAAGACGGGCCAGGCCAAAATGAAAAATTGAATCACACGTCAAATACATTTTTCCCAAAGATGGCTTCTGGCATTTTAGGTAGTTCTTATTACGTGTGTGTGTGTGTGTGTGTGTGTGTGTGTGTGTGTGTGTGTGTCCAAAAATGGTGATAGAGGGGTACCCACAGTGTCATATTTTGCAGTCAATCATCACTGAGCAAGCTCCAGTATTTGATGACTTGGGAGTGAGAATGTGTTGACTGTATCAAAACATAAAGCACTTTACCTTGTCTGTGTAGAGTGACTCTGCAGCTCAGAATGTGACATATGGATGTAAAAATTGTGAAATATAATAATACTGTATGCTTGTAATAAGAAAGTAATCAGAGTTATTGGCAGAGTTAAATTGTCATTTAGCAATTCATTCTGAGTTCATTATAAACAATTCATTAAAAAACTGTTTACTGATAAGCACAGTGTTCTCTGTAGTCTTTGCTCTGTATTCCAGCACACTGGATTTGATGTGAAACTACGACTATGAGTTTGACTTTTAGCTTTAGGGCTGTTCCAGGGTGATCACACGGGGGAACAACGGATTATAGCACTTATTCATTTTTCTAACCATATAGACCAGAGGGGGACTTCTTTGAGGGAGAGGTGTGAGGTGAAAGGGACAGGTGCATGCAAGGGCAACATGAAGTAGTTTGGCTGTTGATTCGGCCTGTCTATTGACACAGTCAGCAGTAACAGTGGCAGTAGCTGACACACAACTCATGGAGACGCAAAAATTTGGATGAATTTTAACATTTTTCTTTTGAATATTTCCTGTGAATACTTTTTCAGAAAATGTAATGATATTTTCAGGATTTTTTAAATTTTTATTTGTAAAATTATACATACTTAAAGGAGCATTTCACCCGTGGAAACATTAATATTTATTGAAAGTGGGTTATTTATGTAGTCGAAATGTAACATACATTTTGAATTTGGTGCCTATTTGACAGAGAAAAGACAGAAAGTGACTTTAGGGCGCATTTGTATTAAAGACAACAACTTCCACAATGCACAGCTCCACAAGCCACTCCCACTAACACTATCAAGGACTACAACAACGTGAATGTAAACCATTTATTTACAGAAATATATCAACAACAACAAAAATAAATATGTTAACATTGACAGTTATAGTTCCTCCTGAGCGTCCTCAACGTCTCGGGGCCGCAGTACTGGCCATCTGGAGCTGGATGTTTCTGTCGGATAGCCTGCACCACATCAGCGGGTAAAACGACACGATGGCCTCGACCCAATCTCTCGCCTTGCAGGACCCATTCCAGAAAGGCTGTTAGGCGATATTGTCTACAAGACATTGAGCACACAGTTAGCAATGCATGGTCTTTGTGTTTAGCGTGCCACAGTAGTTAGCAATGCAACTGCAAGCTGTTTGTGCAGTAAAGAAGTTAACATTAGTTCAGTTGGCTGACGTTACGTATTAACCGGAAATAACTTTGTGATAATGCTTGAACAAATTGTGTACATACATGCCACGTTGTTATAAGACAGAAAACAGAAACACTCACTTTACAGTCAGACGTCCGTGTGTCCGTAGGCGCACAGCGAGAGCACAGGCACCAGCAGTCCGCCCCAGCTCGAGCCAGTCCGGGCTCCTCGTCCGCGACAGGCAGGTCCTCTGCCTCGGCTGCAGAAGCCTCAGCCGCCTCCTGTTCAGCCTCAGCCGCTGCTCGCTATATTGCGGCTCATAAAGGTAGCCACGAACATCTGATTCGACCATCCTACTAATGTCTTCCATATTACATTGATTACCATAGTCGTAACGTCTGGCTCGTCAGCGCCAAACAAGATGGCGGTTATATTTTTTAGTTTCTGCAGGTGAAGTCCCACCCACTGATCTGTAATAGGTCTGTAGCGTGAGTGAAAAAAAAATGAGGAAGTAGTGTTTGTAGTCTCACCCCCTCTACAGAGATATGAGACTTCCTGCTTCCAATGACGCAAAATGACGATTTTTACATCATTGGAAGCAGGAAGTGCAACACTATAATCCTTATTTCTCCCCTCTCAGGGAAAGTGAGGGAATGATGCACGACCATTCAAAAATATGACTGGGGTTCTAATGATACAAAGCTTAATGCAAATGGGTGAAGTGTCCCTTTAATAGGCTGCTTTTTTGACCAAACCAGTGTTTTTTTCCCCTGATACTTGGCCATTGTTCTAATACAGTTTGTGTTAATGTCATCAAAGTTCAGATATTAAATAATACACTGTGATGTGATACGTTATTTTAACTCTGCAAACTCTTAAAACAGTTTACATCAAAATGTTTCAGTTACACAAACTCAAGTTTATAAGTTAAAAAAACATTCTTGATGAGGTACTTTAATTGTCACTTAAAATTACTGAAGCTACTTGATCAATAATGTTTTTAACTTACAAGATTGAGTTAGTTTTACTTAAAGTTTTAATCAGTTTCAACAACTTTTTGAGTTAAATGAACTTATCTAGTTTTAAATGTAATCTAAACTTCAAAAACAACAGTTTAATTTAGTTTTCTCCACAGAAATGAATGCAATGTTGAGATAAGGGCCTAACTTGTATTTTTAAGTTTTAAGTTGAGTAGTAAGCATCAAGCAAGAAGGCCTTGCAACCTCCTGTGAAGCTTTGGTGACCCCTAGTGGGGGTTCAGACCCCTGTTTAATAACTTTCTGAACTTCAGCTGGCTTTCCACCATAATTAGTTTTATCCTCTCTTCAGCAGTATGCCAGATCCACCAGTGTAATAGCTTGTTTCAACTCAACAGTGCGAGAGAGTTCACAACGCTCACCTTGACATTTATTAGGCTAACGATACGGTCAGTTCACCATTCACCAAAAACATGAACATGTTCAATGGTCGGCGCTCTTTCAGCTGGGTCATGCACAACACTGTTCTGTAGAAGAGGTTTTGCTGCTACTTAATGTATTCCCCAATGAATCACATTTTTGGAGGCTGCAACATTCTCGAAAACTCATGAAACTCATCATAAAATTCAACAGTACAAGAAATTTCTGTATTCTATGGGTCCCACACATGGGCTTCACAAAATGGCTTAGCCACGCACCCCAAAATCAGCCCCCAAGACATCTAATTTATATGAAATTTTCACATGGTCTACACATGTCGCTGCCGCACGACATGACTATAGCACACATAGACTGTGCTGCTTTCAGCTTTAATTTTCGTTATTTTAGTTTAACGTGTTACCGCTACATGATTTTGTCAATTGAACAGTGTGTGTGTGTGTGTGTGGATGCTTGGGTAAGAGCAACAACCCAAAAAAGAAATGAAAAAAATGAAAACAAAACAGAAAAAAAGAAGGCATGACAAGAAAAAACAGCTCAGTCCATTAATATCCGGCTCTTGCTGTGGAATTTGTTTTCTCTTGTCAGGCGGTTGTGGCTGTCACAGTGATGAGTGGGGCCGAAGCTCTGAGCGCCTGTATCACTCTGACAGAAAACACAGAGATAGAGCGAGAGAGGAAGAGCAATGAAGGGCGAAGGAGAGAGAGAGGGGAAGCGGGTGAAGGAGAAGACAAACAAAGAGAAAAAAACAAAAGACGATGGTGGAGGAGGAAGAGTGACAGCAGCAGTGAGAGAAGACGGAGAGACACAGTCTGAGAAGCAGGTTGGCACTCAGCGTGAGTCTCAATGTGTAAACACACACAGTCTTCATCAGGCCGACATAGGAACCACTCTGCAGCACAACAAGCATTTCCTTCCAACACCATATCTATGAGCGGCCTGTCAACTCGTGGCCCTTGTCAGATTGGCTGCATTTAGCTGTGAAGCTAAAAGACTTGAAGCAGCATTGGCAGACAGTCTTCTACGTTCCTGAAGCGGTTGTTTAGACTATTTGTTTCAAGGGTGTAGCATGTAGATGTTTGCGATAGAGGTTTTGTTCTCACTGCAGGAATGTTTTCTCAAGGTGAACACTCTTCAAAAGCGATCATGTATGTCTGTTCACCTGTTGCATAGCAGGATATCTCAAAAACTACTCAAAAGATATTGGTGGAATTCATTTGAAAATAATATCATTGGCCAAGGACAGCATGATTAATTTATTATGTGTACATTTACAAAAGACTGTATTCTTTATCTTGGAAATAGTAGTTTAACAAAAAAATTGTAAAATGTTAATAGATTGTATTAAACACTATTGTTATACCTATATGATCCATTTTATAGTTTTTTTATTGTAAGATTGATCTTTGATCTCTTTAGTTTTTATTCCATTCTGTCTTAATATCAGCTTGCCAATCATCTATAAAGCACTTTGAACTGCACTAAGCTGTATGAAAGGTGCTGTACAAATAGTGTTTGACTGATTAATTGGCCCAAAAGTGCACAATTAGTACATAATTAACAACAAATGCCAAGGATATACAGACTCTGGTCTTTGAAAAATCTATAAATCTGGGCAAAAAGCTGGTCTTCAGTAAAAAATCATTTGCTTTCTTTAATGTTTATTATGTAATAAGAATCAATATACCAAAACAGATTGACACTACACATTTAAAAAAAAAAATCTAATTTATTTGAAGTTGCCTGTGCTGTGTATTACTTTTACATCTGGCCTTTACCTTCAAAATAGTAGTTTAACAAAAAAATGTTGAACTCAAGGTCCACTGACTAGATCAGACAGAGCTTTCATCCACATCTCATGGCCTTCAGCAATGTGTAGAGTGTTCTCAGTCTCTGTAAACAATGTTATAAGGAGAACGGCCTAGACCATCCCTATTTAAAAGTGTACATTTTGGTGCTATACAAATAAAATGGAATTAAACTAAGGTCTATCATACATTATAAGCCCATTCATAAGACACCATAATGCATTTATAAGGCTTTATTAAACTCTCGATAAACCTTGTTATAAGTTGTAATGCATGATTATAAATATTTAGAAAGTAGTATAAGTGGTGGACATTACAAGTTTTGATTTCATAATACTTTAATAATGCTAAATCAGTGGTTCCCAACCTTTTTCCTTAAGGGACCTTTTTTCTATCATTTAGTAAACTGACGTCTATTTCATATTATATTCAAAACTGTACAATTAATCCAAATAGTAAACTCAGTAAGAGCAGGAAGTAAGGGTAAAAGGAGTGGGTACATTTTGAGCAGATTATTTTCTGTTTAGGGAACTTTTTATACAGTTCTGTCTGTATTCACAAGTCTGTTTTATGACAAACTCGGTGTTTTCTTGTCATTGATCTATAAGCTCTTTGGTTGTTTTCTAACGCAGAACGAAGCTGTTAATTAGAGTGAAGTCTCTGTGACTACAGCTTGTGTTCAAGTCTTCAATTTAGATCTTAAATAATAATCGGAACTTTTAAAATAAACAGTTTCACCCCTTACAATCACGAAGGCCACACGACCCCTTATGAAGTTATACTTTTTGGGTAATTATTGCCCGGGTCATTTTTCCTTAATGTTTCCAGTCATTCCCTCTCTATCTCTGTGTGTCTGTGGTGGGTGTGGCATCGCTCTCTCCTCTAGTCCTGATTTTCTACACCTGCTCAAGCCGCACACCTGAATCCACCAATCAGCCCAGCAGCATATGAACTCACCCGTGAGCATGGTTCCTCACCCGTTCATCCCCAGATGGTCAGTCACCCTCAGTGGTATTTCATCTCAAGCTCTCTAGAATAGTGTATTCTAGCTTTTTAGTTTTTTGTGATAACTTTGGATTTACTAACTCTGCTTTGCTGTCTGCTCACCTGGTCTGATCCCCAGCCACGCTCACCACCAGCTTTCATCATCTGCTCCATCTCCCCACAGCTTCTCTCATCTCACTCTGCCAGCACCCTCTGGATCTCTTCCACCACAACTATTACACTAAGTTGGACAATAAACTGCTAAATAATTCAAAACATGTACATTGAATCTGTGTCCGCTCCTGGGTCCCTCCCTGTTCCTCATAACATCTATTGCATGGTTCATAATGTGCTCCTGCCATCACCCTGTACCACAGCCCTGTCCAAATAGTTCCAAACTCTAAAACATCTGCATTTGTGAGACTGCAGGTCACACAGATGTTTGGCTAATTAGAGGTGAATTATAGGGAAACTGTAGAAAATAAATGTTATTGGCTGAGGACAAGATGGTTCCTCACAACCAAAGCCAGCAAACCTGCATGCTGGTTGATAAAGCTCTGCAGCCCTTTCAGTAGCCTTGCAATCTGAGCTGGATAAACAGTTTCTCAGCTAAAGCCAGCACACTGAACATTTTTCTAATAAAACGTGGCTAGTTTCAGCTTCAGCTGTTGTGGACAGACAATAACAAATGTGCAGCAGTGAGCCTCATCTGTTCATTGATTGTAACTAACAGAGACATACTGCAGGTATATTTGCTGTTGTACACTCTGTTTTACTTAAAGACCATCATCAGGGGGAGATACAGGAGGGGGGAAACTGCTATATGTGCCAACTGACTGCTTATCAATTGTGCTAATGTCATAGTGGTGTAGTTAAATACCAGTTTATAGGCTGGTAACCTGACTGTGGTTTGTTACACAAAACCATCTGGGAAGTGTTTATTGGAAACCAAAACACATGGCAGGTGATTGGATGAACCATCTGTCTATCACAGGCCAACTTCAACCAATCAGATCAATGAACCATATAACGTAGTCAAACTCTTACTGAAGTCAGTCAGGAGAAGAAGAGTTTCATTTTCTGAAAAACTTTAAAGCTAACAGCTAAGTGGCAGTGAAGGGCATTGAAAGGCTGCCAACA